CTAAGGAGTGTGAATAATTTATTTCTTCACACATGAAAGAGCTTCACAGGGATGAGCCCTGTTAAATGAAGGTAGAAGCAAACATCTCAATTTTCAGCCAACAGTAGCTTCTCTTGTGTAGCATTCTGCTGTTGACTGAATTCCAGTCACTTTACATTCTCAAACTATGAGTGAAATTTCACTGTGCTTGTATGTTTTGTGCTAGGCTTGTATTTTCTAAACATGCATATGGAAGCTTCAAGAGTTTCCATTGCTTCAGTACAGGAATGGCATATACCCCAAATTAACAGAGCAAAAAAAATTTTTGCCTTCATATCAAGTCAGAAGATAATGCAGACTCTCAAGCAAATTTTTTCAAAGCCACCAACCATTTTAAAAGAGCAAAAGGATTTAAATTCAGTGACTAAAAAGAATTAACCAATACTTTGATTATGATCTCAGATTTTCAGCTGAAAGAAATAATCAAATCTTTTTTAACAACTGTAAGGATTAAAATACCGTATCAGTTCCTACACTGATGCAAAAAGATGCCTTGTCCTCTTAGAGCTACTTAGGTGATGTTATATGTTCAGTTTGCTCCTTTTAGAGCAAATTTTTTTTAGAGTTACATTCCTTGTCCAATCATCATGTTTATCCTGCATGTATTTAGCCTAAAACCCTTTATGTAATAAGTAATCCTGATATTTCAGGTGCTCAAGCCTCCCTCTCTCAGATGAATGCTCTCATCTTTAGGCTGAAGAGCAGAATTATTTCTCTTGCTAATGAGATAAATCTCAGTGGCAGAACTAGAACTAGAACTAGAGGAGGGCAGTGTGTCTTAAGCCAGTCCCAGACACCTCAGAGAGAGGTGATGAGAGTGGTCTGCATGTGGCATGCATGAGACTGAAGTACTACACTGAGGCTCTACAGCAGTCTCAGTTACAACCTAATCACAGAATAACTGCTTAAAAAGGGGTCAAGGGGCATCTCCTGTTTGAAAACCAAGGGAGCAGAGCTTTTACTGCTTTAGTGACACTTTTGAAGGTGTATTTTGTAAGGATCCCTAACTCTGTGATAGCAATTTACATATTAGTGCTGGACCCTAACAGGGCTCTCTCCCTCTCCACAGTGCCATGTTAAGCATACTGGCTGCCACCAAGCTTATTTAGAAGCTCCCATATCTCCTTGTAGGAAGTGTAACTCCAAGCATCTGATTCTGCCCAGTGAGCCAGGTATCTGAAAACACAGCACTGCAACACCTAACTCTCTAGAAATTCAAGCCTTCATGTCTCTCAGTCAACTTCCACTTTAGTGCATGGAGGCTAATATTGCAGATCATTTTTTCCTTACTAATTTCTTAAAAAAATCTGAAGTGCTACAGTTGGAAATCTAATGGCTTTTTTCCAAGTAGTGCTGGAAACACAAAGAGGACCTCTGGCTTTGTGCTATAAATGACCACTATTTTACTGCATGAACAGTGGCAAATTATTTGCACGGTAAAGAAGGTGTAATTACAAAGTACAAACCGTAACTGATTATTATGATTATTTCAATACCCTACAGTGAAGAGTAGATGGTAATTAATTTCTGGACCTACCAGACTAAATATAATTACTAGGAACCACAGCAACTGTAGACATATGCTGGTAAAACAGTTAGACATTACTTTATTTGTTTATTACCTAACCCTCTATCCATAATTAAATGCTGCAAGTGAAATAGAGAACAATTTCAAAAGAACTTCTAAAAAGCTACAGATCAAAAATATGTCAAAAAGGTATGGATTTTAGCATTTCTACAGCATTATTAACTAGGCATGCTTAAAGTTTGACTGCAGTAACTGGCAGAGAGTCAACGACCTTTACATGATTTACAGCCTGTGCATTTATGTGGTATTAATTTAATACTACCCTAATTTTGTATTGATTAGGATCTTGGGACACAAGCCTAATTCTCTAGTCTCATTTGTTGGGGTCTACTGCTTTGTAAAATTTGTGATCCCTCCAACATGCACTGGTTGTGAATTACCTCATTGTATGAAACACCTTATTTCACCGAATAAGTTTTTTTTTCGGGGGAAATGGGTGGAAAGGTTGCAAATTAGCCTTTACTTTTGTTTTCATAATCAAACTCAAGTTATGCCTGTATAAAAAAGTATCATGACATTAAAAATACCTCCAGCTTCCCTTTTACACAAAACCTCTCCAACATTTTTTCTGGAGAGAGTACTACTTGATTCCCAGAAGGACAGCCATTCACAAACACTGCAAATCTCAGATTTCAAGAAGAAACAGAACCACACAGGTAGAGACACTCTTTCCTTGAAGATCTCCACACTCTCTGGGACTCTGACTTTGTGCTTGGTGGCTCATCTGTCAATATCCTTTTTCTGTTTCTACAAGAACTTTTAGGGTAGTTTTCAGCAGATACAACTTTACTTGATAAAGTTCCCACTCCTTATCAATAGGATAGGCAGGGATACAAGTATTTTCTGTACCTGTCTGTTTTTCTCTCCAGGCACTGCCAGAGGGGAAAAATAAGCAGAACAAGTTTACCCTTCTTTGTGAGGAAACAAGCTCTGAGGGATTCCTGCAGATTCTGAGGTGGCTGTTTTCAGTGAATTCCCAAGCAGCTGTTAGGGCCATCAAACTGAGTAAAATATTTTAGTGATCCAAAAGAAGACAAAATGGCACCTTTGGATGTGCTCTCTACATGTATCTTGTTATCTGTTTAACCTTTGTACTTCAGCTAGCTGTTGTCTCTGAAGTGCTAAAGGAGAAACAGGCATGACTCAAACATCATGTAATTCAATCTTTATTGTGTGATCATCATCATCTGCTTGGTGGAGAAGCAGGAATAACAGACCCTGATTTTCAGGTCAATTTAAAGTGAGCAAAGGTCATATGTGGTACCTCAGTTGCTGCAGGAATCTGAACATTCATGAGAGAGCACTGACAGACCCCTACAAATATTTTAACTGTAAAATATAGGCTGATTTTATGTCTGCTAAGCTGCTGCTACTACTAGCCTCTGCAATGTCTTTTGAATATGACTACATATGAAATGAGTCTACTCGTTTGTTAGTTATATTCAGTACGTGAAACTGCTGTGAGAATAGCAATTGGTAAATTCTTGGGTGGGGAACAGAACAAATCCTATAATCTAAATAAATAAATAAAAACATGTTTCTGTCTTCTTTGCAAGTAGTACCTCTATTTATCAGCTGACTGTCAATCCATATTTTGTAATTACATTATTTGTTGCAGCTATTTTTCAAAACTGTGCTGTTTCTTTGGAGAAATGTACTGCTTTAACTTACTAGCTATTCTCTTCCTCTGCCCTGCTGTGATGCTTTTATCATAATACTCGTCATATGCTGGCAGCTACAATCTTGTGCTCCCAAGAATGGCCCCATAGAAAAGCTAAGATGAATCTTCAGATGGCTCCTTAAATGTATTCCTTTCCTTTCTTGCTATTGTTAGTAAAGCAATAAGCATTTTTTTATTTTTTTTTTATTTTTCCTTATGCCTCCTTCTTCAATCCTGTTGGAAGGGATGTAGATACAGGGTAGGAGAAAGCTTTTCAGGGTGACAGCTTTTTAACACTGAATAATCTACTGCTGTGCATGCTAATAGATGGTGCTAGGCTTGATTAACTAATTTTGCAAATGAATATCTAAGCAAATTACTTCTTCAGATTGTTCCCAATAATTCTTTCTCTGTAATTTCCTCTTTGAATAGTTTTATGCTGATTGTTGCTGCTGACTATTAGAACTCATGTACACGTACATTGGAAAATCCTAAACCCCACACACCCTGTTTAAAGGTACATAGTCATATTTTCAACATTTTTTCAGAAGTTTCAAAGTCATATAGAAATGTAATTTCCAGCCACGTTCAGTTCATGGGTGTTTTTTAAAAAAATACTCAGGTACTTACGTATGTAACTGAGTATACATGAAAAGGATTTTCAAAGATTATGAAGACAGACAGACAGATATATTTTAATTGGAAATAAACATCTTATTGGCCAAGATGTCTTTGATAAATCCTGCATGTCTGTCTATAGAGATGTGATCCTTTTGAAGAGCTAATATGAGACTGGGACTGAAAGAGAACAGAATTTTCCTCTTCTCTTTTCCTCTGTTATATGAAAGTCAAATATTTTACTTAAATCAAAATATCATACACAAATACTACCACACTCACATTCCACATCATGAAAAAAAACATCATTCTTTCTCAAGAAGTCATGGGCTTGACCTGTAGGCTGTACTTATCTCATTGCCTATTGATTACTACACAAATACTTTTATCTTTAATAATTTAACATTTCCTAGTTAAATAAAATAATTTAAAAGATAAATTTCATACACTGTCAATGGCCTGTGTTCCCTTGCCACATCTGAGTAATCCTCTATCAGGACAGCCTAACTTTAAAATTTGCTGTCAAACGTAATGCTTGACACATTAGCATTTTCACCCCCCTCTGTGAAACCTTACATGAGCATTTCCATGTATTCCTGAACCATGCTTAACTTCCAAGTCTTCACTTGTAAGACCTACATAATATTTCCCTAAAATATATTGTTCCATCTCCTTTCTTGCTCCTCAGTCATTCTTCCTGTAACCTCTCTCACTTTTTCTATCACTTAGCACCTTCTGCTCTCTGGCCCAGATGCAGGTTAGGTGTTTGTCTGCTGATGCTGTGTACTTTCATCTTTCTTCCTTTAAACTCCTCCTTAAAACCAATCTTCTTGCCCTCTAGCATATCATTATTGGACAGCAAGTTATCAGGAGTGAGCAGAGGCTACATTGTTGTCCCCTCCACCCATTCATACATTCAAAGTTAAATCCTTTATTCTGAAGCCCCACAGCCATTTTTAAATAACGGGTGGTGACGTCTTCCCCCCACACCATGCTGCGGAGTTGGGCACTGTGGGGGGTCTCAAAAGTATGAGGATGCCAGCTATATTGTCTCTGACTAGGAGAAGAGGAAATGCACATTTCTGTTCTACTTACCGGTTTCTATTGCTAGAAATCCAATCGGAGATTAACGTTGCAGCCTGCTGGTGACAGTGTTTGTTACCGAAGCTGCAGGCCAACATGATGACCTCCCGACGCAACTCTCTGCCCGAATTAAAAGAAAAAACAAAACAAAACAAAAAAGTAAGACCCCATTAGTAAATATGTTAGAATATTTACAAAAATGCATTTCTTGTAACAACGGCAGCAGCTGATATTTGGTTAACATATCAAAGATAATCCAACTACACAAATCTCAGTGTCCACTACATGCTTACAGCTGCTGCAACAGCGAAAGAAAAGCCATGGACCAAACCCAGCTTTTATTTACACTTCCAGACCTCTGTGGTCAAGAGTCCAATTTCTTAAATATCTAGTGCAGACTAATATTAATTTAAAGCATAGCAAATCATGTACTTTAAACTCAGGAAGACAGAATTAATCTCATAGTATCTTGCTGCTCTCCCTCTAACCCAAAAAAAGAAAACAAGACAGAAGAGAGAGCTAGGAAAGTATGACATGCTAAAGATCACACCAGATTTTAGGAGAGTGCATTATTACAACCATATCTTGCATAGGAAGGAAGGGAGGAAGGGAAGACAAATATAACAGTACTCATGTTGGTAGGATGCTTGAACAAGCGATTTGTTTAAATTATTCGTTGGCCATCCAAGCTTGAGATACATTGAAGCAACTTGTCTTAAAATGTACTCCTAAGGGAGAAAAGAATATTCAGTGTTAACATTTATTTTTGATTTTTGGTTCAAACTTAAAATACTATTGCCTATTGAGGTTTTGCCTCTCCTTTTTATCCCTAAATGATGTCCCACTTACAAAGATTCTGATTTGCAATTAGCAAAGTAACATGTCCACATATAATCTCTGTTCATTGCTACATTCAGATGTAATTTGCAGAACAGCTACTTGATCAGATGCCTCATATTAGCTGATTTATTTTTATAATTCCTAGCAATTTAAAAAGAGTTTCTAATATGCTATTTTGAACTTACAATACATGGTTGGAAAGTTGCAAGACTGTCAACAGCTCAATGGCTATTCTCGACTACATCGTGCATGTTCATTTTTAAAAGAAAATTGTTATAATAGCCATAACCAGGGCAAAAATATTACACAGATACAGTCAATTGACTTCAGAATACTGAACAATGTGGCTGCAAATGAGCTTTGTACATTTAATAACACTATATTTTAAGTTCAGGTTGTTGGTGTGCTTAAATAACAAAGCCAGCACAAGATGTATTTTAGCTTACTTCTACTTTCTACACGGGTGACATATTTCCATATCCTGACCAGTTGTGAAGAAAACAACTGTCATTGTATTCAGCATAATGTTCTGCCAGTGGAATTCACCAATTTGAAAAAGAGAACTGAAATATAAAGAACTGCATAGAATAGCATCTATTTTATTATTATGGATGCATGGGTATGTATATATGATGTTAGGACAAAAGGAGATTCATACTGCAGCTTTCTCTAGCAGATATGTTATTCTGTGACTAAAAAGACTTTTTATTTCCTCTGCTATCACCCCTGCTTTCAAAGCTCTCATCAGAAGCGATAAAACACAACCCAGCTGTGAATTTTACTGTTTTTATTTATTAAAATTGTCTTTTCCTTACACAGTCATGTTTAAAAGTGAAATAGCAATGGCAGTCTGGTAAGAATTTTTCTGTGCAGTTAACAGACTAAAACCACAATTTATTTCAACATCATTTATACATATATGCATATATACATACACCCAGTCATCTCTAGCCTCCTGCTTTCTGAGCGTGTGTCTGGACACACACACACACACACAAACAAACACATGTTCAAGAACAAAAATAAAACACATCTAAACATTTCTGGATTTAGAGAGTTCCTTCTTTTGAATGTCTACCAAATTACACAAAATTACTGTATGCTGTCCATTCAAAATATGTAGAATACATAAACTACACTGTGAGTCAAAACAAACAAAAAACAAACAAATAAACAAAAAGAGCTTGTCACTGGCTGCAGTCAAATCCTGTGTACTTCATTAAGCATGCTTCAGCATAGCTAGATTTTTTCCAGGTAAAATGTTTGTCATGTCTATCTTAATTACCTACTTCTAGTTTCTACCACTGTCCCTTTGGACCCAATTATGAATGGGCTTCTGATTCAATGGTGATCTAATCCTTGTTAATTAAGGTGACTGCATTGAATTCACCATGGCGCTTTGGATGAAATAATGACTACAAATCTTTTCTTCAGTTGCGTGCATCCTGTTAAGTTATGCCTGCATTTGGTGTCCTTGCTAAGCTTGGGCATCAATCTAAGTATAGCTGCGTGGCTCCTCAAAAGAGATAATCTTCAAATAGATTACTTTGGCTCTTTTAAGTGAAATACTTTGTTGAAATACTTTATTTGTTATTATATTTTATAGAAGGAATAATTACCTTTCCTTCCAGTACTCACATAGGTCTCAAAAACAGTTATCACTGTTCAAATGCAAATGAACCAAAGCTTGACAATTGCTGTTTAAGTAAAGAACATTTAGGAAGAAAGATAGTAACACTAGGCCACTTGCAGTATCTAACTGGGGAATAGTTCAACTGTTGGCAATAAAAGGGCAAAGGGAAGGAGAGAGAGAAAGAGGGGGACATGAAGAGAGAGAGGGAAAGGGAGTGGGAGAGGTAGAGGGACTATATATCTCTTACATTGAAGATGTTGTAGCTTTCTGTGCGGTCCAGTAATTTATCTAGAGGATAAAGAGCTCGGCTGGCAGCATGCCAAGGCAGAAAATCCTTCTCCTCTGAAAGGTATCTGATAATCTCCAAAGGAATATTCTGAGGCAAATAACCAGCTCTGCACAATAAACGAAGTTAGTATTAAATTGATTTTGCAGGAGATACATGATAAGGCAAAAATGACTTCCTTTTTTTTTTTTTTCCAAATGAAATTAAAAGGCAGAAAAACATGATAAACTCATCACACTGTAATGACATAAAAGTCAATCTTATAAAAGACAGCAACACAGTCTCTCATGCGAGCATACCAACTGGATGAAGGAAGGCATGAACACACATGAAAGTAAACTAGACAAAGTATCCCTAATTTATATAGATTCTAGTAGCAATAAAATATATGATTGATGAAGTAACTGACTTTATATTGGAAAAAAAAAAAAAGAAGGTGTTGTTTTGCTAATATATAAGAAAGAAAGCAATCTGCATATAATCAACAACCCGAGGCATTTTGTTTCAGAGAACATTTCAACTGGCCAGAGGCAAGTGGGAAGATCTAATACTGAAAAAGCATCCTTTAGCTTCATAGTTTTCTTCTGTTCGTTCTCCTTTCTCCTTCATAGCTGCCTTGTCTTCTAGCCATTGTGGAATAATTTACTTTATTAAACTGAAATAGTATCCAATGACATTGTTTTTGTTAAGAATGTTTCAGCACTTTCCATATAAGCTATGCTTTTCCAAATGTTTATAAATCAATCTGCTAGAATTTTGTCCTATTCTTTTACTGGAAGAAAACACCTCTCCCTGCAAGGAAGAGTTCAGCAGGATTTCAAGAAAGTTTTTAAAACAAATAGCTTTACAAGTAAAGTGCAATACAGACACAAGCATTTGGAAGCTGCTTTTTAGAACTAAGTACTAGATACATCAAGTTTTAGGATTTGCACTCATTTTCTTTTTCAAAACAGCATTTTTTCTTAACTATACAGGTTGCAGACACAAAGTGTAACCCTGTGGGTGTGAACTTGCCAGAAACACACCGATCTATTCTTCTCCTGATACATGTGTTTAAATCCCAGAGGAGTTTTCTACCTGCCTAGACAGAATATAATGATTTTGTTTCATTAAACACTTAAAATCAGGAAGTTGGATTCCAGCAGCTTCAAATTAACATAGGCTACAGTATAATATATCTTCACAGACTATTGTTGTCATTGTTGGTTGCCATTGGTCCCCTTAATTTCTATCACTGCCCAGGGAAAAAGATGCATACTTCGAATGTTTAGTACAGCAAACAAAGAAAATTACAGATTATTATAGAAATAAACTACGATTAGATAAATCCTGATCTCAGCTGTAACAGCATAAAAGAACTACCAAGCTAAAATCTTTGAAATAGACTGCTCTTTTTGGTATGGTTCAAATCCACAGTTTCCTTGCAAACTGCACCACTTCCATGCAAGTCATTGTGATTCTTGCTCTCTCAGAAGGATTATGTCCTTTTCACTTTGAATTCTTGGGAAAGATGTGAGTTCATGTATCAATTTTCAAAATGATCTATCCCCTGTCCTTGTGATGACCCACTCTTGGGTATGCTTCATATCATCTTTGTCCCCATTTTGTCAGCAAGGCTGTTCTCAGGTCCAGTTACAGAACAGACTCAAGCAGGAAAAACAAGATCACTTGGGGAGTTCACCGAGTCGCTCAGGAACTGAGCAGATGTGAAATAAGAATGGAGCTGTCAGAGTGGGTAGTGGACAGAGTTCAATGCGTGTGAAGTTAGAGAAAGTGAGAGGAATTAGAGAAAGTGAGAGGAATTATTTTGTTTTTATAGGCCTTTGTTATTTCTGAATCAGCAGAATATCATCAAGGTGAATCCTAGGTCTTATTACTTTGTATAACTATCGAAAATGGAGCCAGAAGCAAGCTGGATCGACTGCAGATTGAAATACCTTGGGAAAAATGTTGACAAATAGATAAACTAGGTTAAAGTTGCATATATGTAATTATGCATTTTGTTATTATAGCTACTGATAATTTGATTACCTTGAGAAAGTGTGGAGTGAGGAACAAGAGGAATGGCTCTAGGAAACATGCTGCTTAAGGAATAAACAGATGAATGTTTATTGTGGCTGTGCTAATGGACATTTAGTATCATATTTAAAATAAGTCTCTCTATACTAAGCACATAAGAGGAATCATCACTGCAAAACAACCAGATATATTTTTGCTTTAAGCTTAACTTCTTCATAAAGAAACATAAGAAATTAACTCAGAGATCTTTTACTTATGCATGAGCTTTGGCCATCCTAATCACTTTTGTAATTGTGATTCTTTGTGATGCTACTCATCCTGTTCACAATGGAAACTGCTGCTCTTATCACCTCACTGTTTCTAACTTACAAATTTATCAAGTTATGGCAAAGACTGAGCTATTCTTGTTTCCTCCTGAACTTCCTTCTTTTCTGCATTTGACTCCTAAAGAACACTTACGCATAATATCACTGAAATCCACTCCTCAGATCAACAGAATCAATCCTGAGGGCTGGGTCAGGGATGAAAGGAGGTCCTCGTAGATTACAATTATAAGAAACAGCAGCAACTTTCCCAACAAGGGAAAAAAGATAATTTCACTGTCATAAAATTGTCTGCTATTACTTACTCAAAGGTATGGAGAAAATAAACTAAGTTAAGCTTTGTACATATTCCACACATGCAGCTTGATTTATCAGTCTTTTCCAACAATGACACTGGAAGGTCAGTTACAGAAATCCTTTTTTTCCTTGTGTCTTTTTGGCTATCAATCATATTGCTATCTTTAAAGTTCAGCAAAAAATACCATCAGATATTGTCTGCAAAAGTCCAAATGTGCCAGAGCTCAGGCTAAGAGATGAGCTTCTCTTCCTGCCTAGCCATCTCAGAGGAAAACTGAAATATTGTCTGTCACTCAGGGAATAATTGATTATAAGCTATACCAAAATCACGTAACAAACATAAATACTACAAAAACATTGTGATGACACATCTTATGACTGGTCTGAGACAATCATATTGTTTCTCCCAGTATGTATCAAGCAGCCATCTGAGAATCTTAGCAAGAACATATCTGCAACCAAAATTCTGCACAGGAATCTGGGATAGCCATGGAAAGTATGCAGCATATAAAATACGCAATCCAACTGCTGTTGATTTATAAACAGTGGCTGAATGAAAAGCAATGTTCAGGTTAAGCATTTCTCAAGTGCAGGTTAAAGACTTTACAAAACTTCACATACAGCACCTAGAAAGAAATGGTTGAAAGCAACCTTAAGAACTCACTTAGTATGTTCCCTAACCAACGTAGATTCATATCAATGCCATTTCTGACAGAAATTTGTCTGACTTGTAGGCATCTAGGAATGAATATCATAGGAGCATTATAATTTCAGTACTCCTCTTCCCACAGGCATGGTAATAATATTCTAATTCTAACCCTTCTCCCAGTACTTATTCATGGAAGAGTACTAGCAGATCCATGTACATATCCTAAAATTAAATGATATTTATGCAGCTTCATTATAAAATATAAAAAGCTGGGGTCTTTATTTTAGATTAAAGGTTTTTTATCGGCATCACTGGTCACATAGAAATGAGCCCATGCTTAGAAAAGAGTCTCTACAAGCAATCTCTCCTTCATACTGAGCTTTTTAAAAGAACATGTCTACAAAACCAAAATTTAATCAAAATGATCAGATTTGAGAACCATGGCTGTTTTATCACTTTCTATATAATTGTTCTTATTCTTCTGTTTACCATCATGTCAATCTCTCTGTAGCCACTGTTAACACATGAGAACTTTAACATCAGTAAGAAACATGGCAAAACGTAAGGTTCATTTTATCATCTGTGTTCCTGGATTTCAGTCACCTGCTGAACTAAATGGGAGAAAAAGAACACAGGCAAGTAAAGAGATTTGTTTTAGTTACTAGACAAATTATCTCTAGACAAACATCCTGGCCCAGCAGGTTTTTCATGTCTAAAGAGGCTGCTGACAAAATGTGGTGAAAAGGTTATTCCCCATTTTTATGATAAGGGCAGAGGCAGATAAAGACCTCTCAAAAGTAATATATATATAAAGTGGAGTAGGACATTATATAATATCATAAGCACCAACCCTTTAACAAGCTAGTATTCTGCTTACACCAAAGAAACTGCTACAGTTGCCGTTGCTGTAAAGAAAAGAGGCAATGAGCAGAAAGTACTGAATGTGGCAATGAAATATCCCTCGCAAAGAATTCCCACTAAAAATCCCACACCAATCAAAAATAATCTTTAAATTACATGAGCTGTTAATGAGTCAGATAAAAGCTAGAGATCTAGATTATATTATGAAACATCAGTGTGTATTCAGCTGCATTCTGACCTTGATTTGTTCTTTACACTGAGCCACGGAACTTATGGACAGATCCCAGCACATTCATTTTCCCCTTAGGGACAAAGTACCAAATGGTAGTGTAATTGCCAAGGGAAAATTATTACTCTGTTCTGAATTATTTCTATCATAAATCCAGCACAAGTCAAACAGACTCTGTCACAAAAACGACAGGGTTGCCATACAGTGATGAGAGTCCCATATACAAGTGCACCATAAATCCCTTAGTCCCACCACCCAACAAAGTCATTATAAGTCATGTGTTTAAATCAAAATTAGAAAATCCACACTGGCAGCAAACTGATAGACATTGTTGAAACAATGGAAATGAGGTGATTTACTTGCCACTGATTTAAAACTCACACTGCATCATCTGTTTCCTATGAAATGTGTAAAGCATGACTAGCTTTCTGTTTGGGTAATTTCAAAGGGGGGAAAAGCAGCTCTTCAAAACATAGATATGCAATTCAGATTAACATGAGTTCTGTTTCTGTGCATGCACGATATATGAATATTTAGATATACTCATTAACCCACAAAGTTAATGAGCTTATCCCACAGATTAAAAAAAGTTGGATTCTTATGCATTGACTCATTCTTTTACCTTTATGGTTAAGTGTGTAAATTAGACTAAGTCACAGAGAAACTTAACTGTATTTGGCTTTTTCTAACCTTACTCATTTCTTCTGAAAGTACTGAGGACTGGGGCCCCT